ATGATGACAATCATTCTGGATGTCTCTCAGAAGAAAATATCGACTGGTAGTGCATTTGGAGTTTGTTCTATCAGGTCAGACTGTTAATCAAGCTTTAGAGGTTCTGAAAAGATTGCATAACAGTGTGTAACAAAAAAGGCCTAACATGGCAGGCAGGGGACTGGTTTTGCCACAACAAGGCACCTGCTCATGCAACCATCCCAGTGTGCCAGTTTTGGGCAAAAAACAGCATGCCTTTCTTGCCCCTCACACCTGACTCACCTGACCTCATTCTGTGTGACTCTTTGTTTCCAAGAATACAGAGGGACATGAAAGGACAGCGATCTGATGAAGGAGAAGTGAAGAAAAAAACTAGGGAGGTGCTGTCAGCCCTCCAAACATGACCTTGAAAAATGTTTCCAAGAATGGAATCACAGATTTGATACATGAATTAAGTATAACAGAGAGTATTTTGAAGGTGATAAGGTTTGGTTTTGTTTTTTTGTAAAACAGCTAAATACATAGATTTGGGGGGGAAATTCCGATTTTCTGGGGTGGTCCCTTGAATACCATGGACCTTGGATTTAGCATTCTAATGTCCAACCTACAGTGCCACCAGGGATTCTTATAGTGCTAAATATTTTCAAATCTATGTTATGGATAACCTCAATACTGAAGAATAATAAAGGTGTTAAGAATATTCAAAATCAAATAAAACTTCCAATTTCTTCAATATCAGATACTTTATTTTATTTTATTTTTAAATAGTTAATTGATACACAATTCACTGAAAATTTGTAGCCATCCAAAACAGTCAATTAAGTGCAATATCAAATTCTTAACCAAAGAGGTTGAAGAATAGTTAAAACTTACAACCTATTCCATAATGTATTGCTATTATTATAATACATTTCTTGAAGCCAACGGATATCATTGTGCAATGGGAAAGAATAAAGATCTTAAGTCAGGCACAGCTGAGTTTGAATTCTCCACGTCCTTGCCACTCAAACTATAGTGTTCACGCTCCCTCACTGATGGCCATTGAGTGCATCTCGACTCACAGCTTCCCTGTGGGGCAAGTAAACCTGCCCTTTGGGGTTTCCAAGGCTTTCACTCTTTCTAGGAGAAGACAGCCTCAGTGTTCTCCCTCAGAGGAGCCCATGGGTTCAATCTGCTGACTTTTGGGTTACTCAGTGAGTAGTACATAAGACCACCAGGACTCCACACCTCGTCTCTGTACTAAAACATCACCCACCTCAGATTTGCATTCTCTTTTCCCAGTAAATTTACGTATAGATATTCCACCCAGATAAATTCAAGCTTAATTTATGTCACCTTAAATATAAGCCTATAATTAAAATTAATAAGCAATGCCATCTTACTTATAGTACAAGGTAATACCTGCTTTTCAATTAGCCTCAAAATATTTTTCTTCTAAATACCGTTTTCCATCTTTATGAAATCAAAGATGCAAAATAAATAATTTAGTTTGAAAGCAAACATGAATCTCTCTCCTTGACACATTAACGAGTTCTGCCTTTAACTAGTAATTATGTCTTCAGCCATCACACGCTTAAGATAGCAAGTGATCCCCTACCGGAGTCAAATAATGCACCAGGTGTCTTGAGATTCCGTTTAAATAAAAAAGAAAGCTTCAATAAGCTCTTATTTTAATCCAATTCAGGCTGAGACATCCTACCTGATTCTACAACCTCCTCAGGGCTTTTTCCAGTCAGACTGCCGACGTCAGTCCCACAGAACAGACACCAACGACATGGATGCAAACAGCATTATTTTCAACTGTCATCAACATATCCATCACTTAATATACCCAAGGAGAAAATATCCTGTTTTTATTCATAAAATTATTTTTCAAACATATTTTCCATCTTTAAATGATGTTTAGTTGTATGCATATCCCCTGTATTGAAAAAATAATGTTTTGCACTGATAATCATGATAGGTTGCCAATTAATACATGTCATATGCAATATGCATACTGTATATGTGTATTTTAACTTCCAGTGAGATGGTATTCTAAATATTCCTGCTATACTACAACAAGACTCTGGATACTGAAAACAATATAATCTATCAAAATGTATAGGTCTCAGTCTCACAAAAAAGGAAACATTCGAAGAATCAAGATATACATAGAAGGCTTAAGCTATGCAACTAGTTAACACACTCACTTGCTAGTTGACACACTCACTCGCTAGAAGCTTGCGTTCACTCACAGGCAGCGCATGAGAAATGCCTGACCATCTACCTCCAAGAAACGCAACAAGCAAAGACTGAAAACTCCAGAAAGCACCATATTCGACTCCAACACAGATGAGGGCACTAAGAACTGAAGTCCACTCCAGGAAATGGCTTATGATGGACATCAACTATACTACGCTGAAATGGTCAACCATGCTTGTGAAGTAAACAATAAGATTTTCCCTGATGGCAAATGTCCACCATAGTACTGAGATATGTGGAAAAGATGTACTTAAACTTGCGCCCCAGAATTTTATCCAAGAAGATAGTTGTATGACTAATTCTATGAATAATTCTTTTAATTGCTTGAATGGCATGGGCATTTGCTAAGTGGACAGGTCTTATGCAGAAACAGACTAAAATACCACAAGCATAGCACTTCTTCCACACAAACTTGGAATCAATCCCATGCTGTGTGGTAAAGTGAAATTGCTTAAATGTGGCCTCTCAGTGCACGTCTCAGGACCTTCCACCAAAGGTTCGGGCAAAACTGTAAAAACTGGGTGTGCAACACACTCACTTACTCACGGCCCTCACGTCAATTCCGAATCACATTGACCGTACAAGAACAGGACAGAACTGCCCCTGTAGGTTTCCAAGACTGTAACTCTTTCAAGATCCTTTTGAAAAAGAATAATATTGTGGAAAATATCTAGCTTGGATTTTATTGGGAGTAGGTGAACTATTTAATAAAACTTTCCAAAATTGGTTAGAAAAGAGTTAATTTATATCACAATTGCTTTAATGATATAGTGATATTAGTTACATGTGGATTAAATATTTAAAGTGAAAAACAAAACCTTTCTGAATTAAAAAAAAAACCGCCTAGTGATGTCGAGGTTCATTCTGATTCACAGTGATCCTATAGAACAGAGGAAAACTGACCCATAAGATTTCCAAAACTGTAAATCTTTATCAAAGCAAACTGCCTCATCCTTCTCCCACTGACGGGCTGGTGTGTTTAAGATGCCAACGCTTCAGTTAGCAGCCAAACACGTTTACCACTGCACAACCAGGGCTACTTCTCCCAAAACCAAACCCACCACCAGCAAACAGATTCTCACTCACAGTTACTTACCTTTTACAGGAGTTCTGAAGCTGGATTTATTCACATGCGCAGAAAGCCTCAGGTTTTGGAATACAGTATGTAAAACTGTGCTTATAACCTCTCGGTAGGTAATGGTTTCTTAAACAAAGCACACTCCCCAATACTAATCATTAACAAGAGGACCTTATTTAATCAATATATATCATAAAGACTGGAAAAGATATGTCACAAACTAGAAAGAGCTGTCTGTATCACTAGTGCAGTATGTCAGCCATATGAAACACCCTGGTGGTATAGTGGGTTACGCACTAAGCTGCTAACCACAGGTCACCAGTTTGAAACCACTAGGTGCTCCATAGGAGAAAGGTGAGGTTTTCTACTCCTGTAAAAACTGAACAGTCTCTGAAACCCACATGGGTGGTTTTACTCGCCCTTTAGGGTCTCTATGAGTTGGAATCAGCTCAGTGGCAGAGAGTTGGGATTGAGATCAGTTAACATAAGAAGCCCTGGAGGTGTAGCGAGTAAGCATTTACAGCCTCAGAAACCCCAGAGAAGGTTCCCAAAACTCACTGTGAGCTGGAATCAACTAGATGACAGTAGATTTGAGTTTGTTTGTTTGTTTGTGGATTGTTTTTAGAATCAGTAATATGTAATCTATAAATCTACTTTAAAATTAAAATGAGCAAATGATATAAACATATTTCACTGAAATCAAGTATAATGGCATGTCTTCTTCATTACTAATAAGGAAAAGTATCCATTTCAAAGTAATTGATTGCCTATAATTAAGAAATCTGACATTGCCACATATTGGTAGGAATATATAAAACAGGCACTCATACATTACTATTAGAAGACTATGTTGGTAGTGATTTTTTTTAATTGCCCAAAATTTACAATGAGGTTTTGTTTAACAATGTTACTACCAAATATTGCATCCTATATAAATGTATATACATGTGTACCAAGAGACTTATTCAAAACAATTCAGAGGCACTATTTATATAGCATCCCTCTAGAAAAAAAATAGAAATGTTCACCTACAGTATTTTGAAATGAATAAATAAACAAGAGATATATTCTCATAAATATATATTTAATCCTATGATTAAAAGGTAACTTCAAATGAAGCACAACCATGTGGTAAATCACAGAAATATAATATTGATTTAAAATAAAATTTGCTGAAGACTACATATGGTATGATATAATTTTTTAGAGCTGGAACACAAACTATAATGACAAAATAAACATTTGAAGTATAATTGTTTTTACAGGCAAAGGGTATATTAATCAAATTTAAACTATGCTAGGCATCTCTGACTTAGAGGTAAGGTGATGAGATAGGCAAATAGTTATTATACAAGCAGCTTTAAATGTACTGATGATATTCTGGATTTTACGTCGAGTGGCAGATTTAAACATGTTCATTTTGTTATGCAATAAAACTTCCAAATGTCTAAATACACAAATTTATCACTTACATAATTTTACTATTTATCAAATTGCCCAATGAAAAAACTAAACAATGGTATAGGAATTGGTTATTTTTGGTTCACAAGGAAACCATATCTCTTCTTTTATGAACATATTAAGTGAAAACAGTTATCAAGCTACAGAAAGCATATCCAAGAAGACCTCCAAATCAAGAATGAAAACTAACAGATCAGTAATAGAAATAACAGAGTGGATGTATCCAAGGAAAACTCACCACCAGGGCTTTCGATCTGTTGCTTAGCAGCTTTTCAATATCCCTTGCTGCAATTTCCACCAGCTGGCGTGCATTATTTGGCTCCACAGTATACAAATCTTGGTATTTCTCATAAATCTGTATGATGGATTAAAAAAAAAGCTATTAAGAACAACAATTGCTTATTTGGCTCACAAGTTCCCAAAAGAATGTTTTTTTTAAAAAAAAAGAGAAAGACCCACCCTCTCTTCATCTTGATCTTTTTGGAGCTTAGGGGGGCACCAGGAAAATATAGATATTAATAAAAATTCATTCTAAGAACACCAGTTCTGAAAACAGTATGTCAGATTATCAGGTTGCAAAACATCTTGTATCACTGGTTGGTGTGTGCACGTTTGTGCGTTGAAGTTATAGTCACAATCTCAAAATTTGGTATTAATTGCCATGAGAGTTTTAAATAAAAGGAAGACAATTCTACATCAAGTATAAGCTGACCTGAATATCAGCCGAGTCACCCAATTTTACCACAAAAACTGCATTACAATTTGCTGAAACAGAGTGGACCATATGGCTGATTCCACTAAAAGACACGATGTCCCTCCCTGACCCATGGCCCTACAGGGAACAACACTGGAGACTCAGTATGCGGATTGGCCCAGCCTGACCACACCTCACCCAGGGAAAACACTAAAGGCTTGCAGCAGAGCAACAGGGGCAACAGAGTAGGGAGCTGGCGAGGGAGTGCAAAGGACAGACTTTGGGGCCAGAGCATGGCACCGCATCAGCCTTGACTGGAGGACATGCCTAGAGGTCAAAAATCAGACCTTGATCTATTTACAGGTTTTTCTTTCTTTTCGTTTTTCTTTTTCTTTTTTGTTAATTTATTCTTTTATGGGTCATTGGTTTTCTTTTTTGTTGTCATCGTTGTGTTCTCTTTTGTTGCTTTGTCTTGCTATGCCTTGGTTTTTCTGTTTGTTTTTTTAATTATTTTATTGAGGGCTCCTACATTTCTTATCACAGTCCATACATACATCCATTGAGTCAAGCACATATGTACTCCTGTTGCCCTCATCAATCTCAAAACATTTGCCCTCTATTTTAGCCCTCAATATCGTTTGCTTGTTTTCCCCCTCCCTCCCCCCCTCCCTCCTGAACCCTTCATAAGTCATAAATTATTATAGACTTATCATAAGTTACCCTGTCCGACGTCTCCCTCCACCCTCTTCTCTGCTGTCCATCCCCCAGGTTGGAGGCTATACTTAGATTCTTGTAATTGGTTCCCCCCTTCCACCCCACATTCCCTTCACCCTCCAGGCCTCGCCCCTCTCATCACTGGTCCTGAAGGAGTCATCTATCCTGGATTCCCTGTGTTTCAAGTTGCTATCTGTACCAACGTACATCCTCTGGTCTAGCCAGATTTGCAAGGCAGAATTGGGATCATGATATTGGTGGGGAGGAAGCATTAAAGAACTAGAGGAAAGTTATATGTTTCATCGTTTCTACCCTGCACCCTGATTAGCTCGTCTCCTCCCCAAAACCCCTCAGCAGGGCGGTGTTCTGTTGTCAACTGATGGACTCTGAGTCTCCACTCTGCACTCACCCACCTTTACAATGACATGATTTCTTGTTCCTTGATGCCTGACACCGGATCCCTTCGACAGCTCCTGGTCACACATACTGGTGCGCTTCTTCCATGTGGCCTTTGTTGCTTCTGAGCTAGATAGCCGCTTGTTTATCTTCCAGCCTTTAACACCCCAAATGCTATATCTTTTGATACCCAGGCACCATCAGCTTTCTTCACCACCTTTGCTTATGTACATCTTTGTTTTCAGTGATCATATCAGGAAGCACACCAGCCTGTCTGACCACGAGGTGCAGAAGGGATAGGGTGTCAGGCATCAAAGAAGTAAAAATCAGATCAGTGGGTGCCCACCTTCCTGATATGCCTTGTTTTTTGATGGATATTATTATCTCTGCAGATCTATCTAGATAAGATAGGCTGGATGAACAGTCTGGAGGAGAAAACAAGGGGCTGATAGTTCTGGGGGGACATGGGAGAGGGAGAGGCAGGGGAAAGGAGGTGGTATTGACCAACCCAGGGACAAAAGAGCAGCAAGTGATCCAAAATTAGTGGCAAGGAGGGTGTGAGAGGCCTGGTAGGGATACAACAAGTGCAATGTAACCGAAAGAAATTACTGAAACCCAAATGAAGGCTGAGCATGATAGTGGGACAAGAGGAAAGTAAAAGGAAATACAGGAAAGAACTAGGTGACAAAGGGCATTTATACAGGTCTAAATAGAGGCATGTACATATGTAAATATATTTATATAGGATGTTGGGAAAATAGATCTACATGCATATATTTATAGGTTTAATATTAAGGCAGCAGATGGACATTGGGCGTTGAGTCAAGTACTTACTCAATGCAAGAATACTTTGTTCTATTAAATTGGCATTTCATGATGTACACCTTCCCAACACAATCGCTAAAGACAAATATGTGCATAAGCAAATGTAATTAAGAAAGCTGATGGTGCCTGGCTATCAAAAGATATAGCGTCTGGGGTCTTAAATGCATGCAGGTAAACAAGCAGCCATCTAGCTCAGAGGCAACAAAGGCCACATGGAAGAAGCACACCAGCCTGTGTGGCCATGAGGTGTCGAAGGGATCAGGTATCAGGCATCAAAGAACAAAAAATCATATTAGTGTGTGCCCACCTTCCCGATATGAATGTGTGCATAAGAAAATGTGGCGAAGAGAGCTGATGGTGCCCAGCTATCAAAAGATAGAGCACCTGGGGTCTTAAAGGCTTGAAGATAAACAAGCGGCCATCTAGCTCAGAAGCAACAAAGCCCACATGGAAGAAGCACACCAGCCTGTGTGAGCACGAGGTGTCGAAGGGATCAGGGATCAGGCATTAAAAAACAAAAAATCATATCACTGTAAATGATGGTGAGTACAAAGTGGAGATACAAAGCCCATCTGTAGGCAACTGGACACCCACTTACAGAAAGGTAACGGGGAGGAGACGAGCCAGTCAGGGTAGCAACAATGAAACGTACAACTTTCCTCTAGTTCTTAAATGCTTCCTCCCCCCAACTATCATGATCCCAATTCTACCTTACAAATCTAGATAGACCAGAGGATGTACACTGGTACAGATAGGAACTGGAAACACAGGGAATCCAGGACAGATGATTCCTGCAGGACCAGTGGTGGGGGTGGGGATACCAGGAGGGTGGAGGGAAGGTGTTGTAGAAAGGGGGAACCGATTACAAGGATCTACATACATATAACCTCCTCCCTGGGGGACAGACAACAGAAAAATGGGTGAAGGTAGACATCAGACAGTGTAAGATATGACAAAATAATAATAATTTATAAATTATCAAGGGTTCATGAGGGAGGGGGAGCGGGAAGGTAGGAGGAAAATGAGGAGCTGATATCAAGGGCTCAAGTAGAAAGCAAATGGTTTGAGAATAATGATGGCAACAAATGTACAAATGTGCTTGACATAATAGGGATGGATGGATGGATTGTAATCAGAGTTGTACGAGCCCCCAATAAAATGATTTTTAAAAATGTGCCGAAAAGCACGGCTTATACTCAAGTATATAAGGTAATCAGAGAAAAGCAGAAAGAAAATGCAACAGAGTATGTATTCCAGGAGGCTCCCACTGTGTTTCTTCTCTCCAACCACTAAGGTTACTGAAGCTTATAAACCAGGAGTGTGTGTGTGTGTGTGTGTGTGTGTGTGTGTGTGTGTGTGTGTGTGTGTCTATATGTGACATAGAAAGAACGATGGTGCTGCTAAGATTCATATGGGTAATATATAGGTCTTCAAAGACAGATGACAGACACGGGAGTGGAATGTCACGAAAGTCTTCTTTAAAAAATTCATTAAAATGGTAAGAGTGTATTTATTTTCTCTAATTACTAAGTAAAGTCATATTGACAATAAGTTAAGTAGCTCATGAAAACCTCAACTGAAGTCGTGGCTCATCTCCTGTCTCCTCCGGTAGGAGTATTTGCCCTAGAGTAGCGTAACCGTCAGCATTACAGAGCCGGCGAAGGCCCAGCAGAAGAGGAAGAAATTAAAAGGAGGAGGAGGAGACGGGCATAGGAGAGGCGTTAAAAAAGGTACTGCTGTGCTTGTGGCTGAACAGGTGGGATGCACATGCATGACCAAACCATCTTTGAGAGCCAGGGCCTAGCAGGGTTTTACTGTCCTGTGAGAAGTGAATCCAGGCACCTACAGAAACCAGTTCAGTCCAGCTGTTCTTCTGTCTCAACTCCAGATTCCGCGTTCTCTACCAACAGGTGCTGCTGCCTGAGTTCATTTGAGCGTGGATGCTAACGGCAAAAAATGGCTTCTGATGGACACACATACATTTGCTAATATTTGCCTATAGCAAAGTGTGCTCATTTTAAATGACATTCTTGGGTCATTTATTCAATTAATGAGAAATTTTTCATTTTAGAGGATTTAAATCAAATAGTTACTCCTGCAACTGGTTAATACATTTAAATTTTCAGCTCTGTCCATACTTATTTAAATGATCAAGTTCTGCCCATACTGACTTGAACTTTGACTTTGTGGGATGTCAGTCCAACTATTTGATTCAAAATACATTAATTTTGTTACATATTACTATGGTTGCTTGACATAGCGAAGTCAGTTCAGCTCATGGCAGCCATATGTACATCACCAGAACAGGAACCTGGAAGGCCCTGCAGCATCCTCACAATTGTTATGTGTGCGCCGCTCTTTCAGTCTGTCTTGCCGAGGAACTTTCACTTTTACAATGGTACACATGTCCAAAATACAGGAGATGATGTCTCCTCATCTTCAGTTCTAAGGAGCATTCTGGCTGTACTGCTTCCAATAAAGGTTGATTCTTCTGGCCGTCACTCGACATAAAAACTCACTGCCATCACATCCATTCTGACTCAAAATGGCCCTACTGAACAGGCTAGAACTGTCCTTGTGGATTTTTTGAGACTAATTCTTTATGGGAGTAGAAATCTTCGTTTTTCTCCCAAGAATCAACTAGTGGTTTTGAACTGCTAACCATGCAGTTAGAAGCCCAACTATGTAACCTAACATTCCACCAGGGCTCATCTTCTGGCAGTACA